AAACTGAACAATTAATGATAGTATGATACCATGTTCTTAGTTCCATACTCCATTGCGGAAACTAATTTCTGCAAAGCCTTTCAGTAAGAATGTTACAATAACAACTATATACATCTAGAAAGAACATGTTTCGTGATATACAAGATGACAGAAAAATAACAATTGAACAGGACTGCACAAAACTGAAACACATTAATGATATCATGTTCTGGGTTCCATATTTTCTGTTTTGGGGACTAGTTTCAACAAAGCCTTCAGTAAGAATGTTATAATGACAGCTATAAACTTCTAGTAAGTACACATTTCAAGATATACGAGATGGCAGAAAATAACAATTGAACAGGGTGCTTCTATGCAAAACTGATCAGTTGATATTCATGTTTTTAGTTCCACACTCATCCATTGATTTATTTAATGAAATAAATGCATACAGTTGTACCATGACTGCTTTCTTGATTCTTCAGACTAGCAGAGGATAATACCAACTTAAACCTAATAATTTGCCGTACATAATATTACAATATTTTCATCCATTTTTTCATAACACAAAACTTTCATCTTTTGAATTTTTAATTTACAATAAAGTAATGAAGGGTGATAATCAATTTAGAAGGAAAAACTGCTACCTTATGCAATTGAAAGCTCTTTTCTTCAATTTGTATGATTAAATCATTAGGAACGTTATTCTGGATGAACCTACATGACATGTAGTTAGTCAAATGCCATGGACAAACACTTATACTGAAACAAAAGAAATTGGAGGGAAAATTAAATAATTACCAGTTATTGTTTCTCCTCTCTATAGATTTTGCAACCATATCCACATATTGATCCATTAACTGGATAGAACCTTTCAAGGCTTTTCACATCCATCACTACCTTCTCATGTCCAGAAATGAGTACCCTTTATATAGTTCTCTCGTAGTACTGGATGTAGTTGGGTGATTCACAACCTCAAAGAGACACATACAATGTGTCACTTTATATAAGAGATAAGAGATTATAAATTTTTAAGGACAACATATCACTTTCAGTCTTTCATCCGATGATTGTAAAGCATANACTTTATATAAGAGATAAGAGATTATAAATTTTTAAGGACAACATATCACTTTCAGTCTTTCATCCGATGATTGTAAAGCATACACTGGAGTGGAACTACAGCCTTTTTTGCTATGATCAGTGGTGGTTGGCACAACAATGCTTCTAGGTGAGTTTCAGACAACAGTCAAGATCACACAATCAATGTGACTTCATTTTTATCATTAATTTGAACAATATTTGTATTGTAATAACAATCGGTGCGTGTTCGGTACACAAGACTAGACAAATAATGAACAAAAATTTAACTTTTCTTTTTCTTCTTTAATTTTATCCAGTATTTTCAAATCTTTCCCATCAAAAATACCATTGTGGTATTACATTTCGAAACACCATGAACATAAAATGTTGAAACAACACTGCTCCATTGTTCTGGATAAAGTCCTAATCCCTACTTCCAAGAGCAATAATAAACTAAAAGTAATTTGAATATGAACAAAGCAGACAAAGATTTATAATGGTCCAACCTAAATGTGAGAGCTATACCCACTTAGAGTTACAACTTTTCACTATATTGGAGGTGTAAAAGGGTTTTCTCACGTTTTAGTGAAAGCAAAAGATAACAAACCATATTAATGATGCATCTACTAGTATTCAACAATGCTACCAAAAAAGTGTGAACCAAACCAATTTGTACATCTGGATCATGCCAGCATCTAGGACTGTTGATGAAAGAATGCATGAAAGTAAAGGCATTTATTGTTTTGTTTATCAATTAAGAAATCAATAAAGTCTACTACTTGGCATTTTATTGATGAATGATTTTAATATTAATCTGACTATTTATTGCACATTACTTATTTCGTGGAAGTTAAGCATGTAAACAAATTTAAATTTTTGTACAAACTATTGAAGTGTTCAAAGATGAAAATCTTTGTAATATTCTGAACCACATTTTATTCATGAAATGGCTTGGATTGGCATTAGTCTGGATGCAGAAAAACCATTCTAATGCAACCACAAAGTCATCATAAGCTGAATTCAATTAAAAACTTTAGTCAAAAAACTAACACAGCCAAAAAAAATCCTTGTCTTGAAACAACAATGCAAAATTGCAAATTGCACAAACATAACGAAAAATTAAAACAAATAGTCACCAAAGAAAAAAGAAAAAGACAGTGGTTCATCAGAATACTCTCCATTTTCTTTTTCTATTCAGCTTCATAGTCCTAAAATACCTAACACATCCCTCAATATTTTCTTTCTTGCACAAAAAACTCATTAAAACAGCACAGCAACAAAATCCCAAAATCCAATCTTTAGTTCCTCTTCTCCACCCATCCATTGAAAGCCCAAATAAAACTAAACCCAAGCCCCCCAAGGAAACATCATCTATAACCAATTCTTTACCCGAAACTAACCATATGCCAACACCCAAAATTACCAAAATAACCAAAATTCCCAATTTCGATTTTCTTCTCTTTTTCGAACCATCGTAAGCTCCCCATCCAAATCCATTCCAGGATCCAAACCCTCCTCCATTACCGCCTCTATTGCCACCTCCCAATTCTCTCAACAATAACTCCAGCGGTTCCGGTAGAATCCCAATTTTCGAGGCAATAATACAAGCTGATTCTAGCACGAGCTTTGTTGATCTTTCAAACCCATATCGCCTTCTCTTGTTTCTAGAACATAGAATTGTTCTCTGTATGCGGGTCTTCTGTGAGTCGGGGGGGGGGGGCGGGGGGGAAGGGGGGGGGTTAATTTTGGAATTTTTTAAAATTTGCATTGTCAAGACTCCAACGTTTTTGGGCGAATTAAGGATCTTACTTGTTCTTTAAAAAAATATTATTTTTTAAAATTAATTTGCAATCACACATTGTTTTTATAAAATTATTTTATACATAAATTTAAAAATTTCTCCTACTTTTTCACCACATTCTTAAAAAATCACTAGTATAAAATACATTATTCCTAGAAATTGGGACTCGAACAATTTTGTTAAAAAAATTTGATTAGATTGTGATTGTCATAAACATAGAGTTAAATTAGAAATTTGATTCGTTTAAAAGCAGGTAAAATTCTAATAAAATATTATTAAATAAGTACTTAATGCGAGCCATACGGTAAACTTTCGTTTTATGTAGTTATACAGTTTTAGGGATATTTATAGCCCCAAGCTCATTTTTCATGAAAAATAAATTTGAAAATAGTAAATTTATTAGACGATGTGTGATTAAAAAATAAAGAAATTTTTTGAATTTACGTTTAAAATTAATCGAAGAATATATAATTAGAAATGAGTTTTGAAAAAAATGAAGCTCAAACGGACCTATAGAAACAACATTAAAGTGAGGTTACATAGTGGTGAAATGCACTCGAGTAGTCGAGCTCTCTCATTTCATGTGCAAATTTATTTTCCAAAGTATACACTTGAGATGTCCATTTGTACTTACATGATATGATATCATGCTCTAAAATGACATGACATAATTAAAAAAAAAAAATTTCGGGAAAAATATATTTTGAAATAATAATTTTTTGAAAATATGTAGTTAAAAAATAAGAAAAAATTTGAATTTATGAATAATATTATTTTATTAGAGAATGTGCGATTAAAAATTTTTAAAAAAAATACATTTTCGAATAATGAATTCCAAACAGGAGTTTCAAAAGATGATTTTATAGAGAGGAGGATGAGGCTAAACCTCTAAAAGATTAGGTTAAGCTTTCGAGGACTAGTTCATTTTGAAAATTTCCTTTGTTTGGATTCCATTAAAATAAAGGTAGGATAAAACTCTCGAATCGAACCGAACTCAACCCAAACTGAACTGAATCGAACCAAATCAGATCGAGCTGTTCTTTTTAAGTTAAATATCCGAACAGATATCTGAATCGAGAATCGACAGATTTAGTGAGAGTCTTGGTTTTAGATCAAGAATCGAAGAGCCAAATCTACTTAATTTTTTTAATTAATTTATTTTAAATTAACCAAATTATTTTATTTTTTCTAAATAAATCTGTTAACCAATTAAACACAAAAATATATGATTTTCCTATTTTTAATTTTCAGTTCAAATCCAATTTAATCAAATTGATTAAATTTTATCCAAATATGTTATTCTACCGTAATATCTTTTCTACCATTTTGGAAAAATCGAATTGAAACTCAACTGCACATCTCTTAATTATTGTGAACTCACTATGTTCTTCTTCCTGTGATTTTAACAATTAAATCTATAAAGAATTCAACAAAGAAAGACGAAAAAAGATACACAAGATTGGTCTATGTTATTTTTTAAGAGCTAAGATTGAACATGTTATTCGTTGAATAAATGCGTTTTGTAAATATTAAAAAAAAAAAATTATATTACAGAACCTAGGAATCGAATGGAATTGAACCAAATTGAAAGGAATCAAACTCGAACAATTCCATAATTAAATTTAGATCTGACTGTTCTATTTACTAAATATACCCAAAAATTTCGGGTCCATTTTGGATCTCTTCATAATCAAATTGGACCATGTCCAGTAATTAAAATGATATTTTAGGGAAAAAATGTATGTTAAAATAGTGATTTTTTTGAAGAATATGTAGTTAAAAAAATAAAAAAATTGAGGTTTACGTGCAACATTATTTTATGAAAAAATGTGTGGTTGAAAATAAAATTTAAAAAAATGCATTTTCAAAAAATTGGAGCAGAAACAAGGGTGTGCATATAAGGATTATCCTCTGTCGTGAAAATTGAGAATGGATGCATAATGTTGACACACTAAAAGTGCAGCCCAAATCGAATAGTCCAAGGAATGAAGCCCAATTGGACAATTCAAGATAAAGGCCTAGACAAAAATATTAATGAATGCAGTGGAAGTCCACGAACACAGTAACATCATCGCCCAACCTTGCAAGACGCCCAAAATCTGAGCGAATGAAGTGTCTTACAGTCGTCCAGAACGATGACCCTATTCTCGCTCATACCTTCGAATCGCCCATGATCTTAGCAAATATAAAATGTTATAGTTATCAAGAATAGCAGTTATTGAGTGGTCTTATCATATTCCACGAATCAAGGAGCCTAGTTGAAGGCGGTTGAACGACAAGGAGTAATGACGACAGTTAGGGACTGCAGTTCCCCTACAAGTTAGCCACTATAAAGAAAGTGGGTAGTTATACAGCAATCAAGCAGTTTCCAAGATATTGTTACGAAGAAATCATCAAAAGATTATAAAAGGAAGAGAAGACATAGAAAAGGGAGACCGAATCAAATACTCTCAAACAGAGAATATGTAATTTCAATTTTTTAGTTTAAACTTAAATATTTCTTTAAGTACTCATGTGCTTGCGCCCCTTGGAGGCATTATGTTTAGTTCCAATTGTAAATCATCGCCAATAAAACACCCCTTTTGGGGACTTTGTCTCAAGATGTTTATTCCTTACACAATCGTTTGATCCATTTTTAATTGTTAGCGACTACCCTTGCGAAACAATTTGGCACGCCCAGTGGGACCTTGGTGTTTGGTGTTGAAAATGCAAAAGGTGAAACAATATGCCTCACAAATCTGATAATGAAGCAGCAAGTCAGGGAGGAATCCAGTCTGTGATCGAGCGATATGAGGAGCAACATAGCTCTCCACGAACAGAGAGATAAAGTCAGAGCAATAACAGTCGTTACGAACCAATGACAGAGTTGAGTCCTCGAACCATACGTGCATTACTTGGAGAACTCACACAAGATGTCGTTAAACAGGTAAATCTACGAAAATTCATAATATGGAAAGATTTTCCCAGAATGGGAATGCACATTATGACAACATGGCCAAACAACTGAATACTTTAAATGAAATAATGAATAAGTTAGTAGGCCAAATTTGTCAGCCAGTTGTGCCTCTTGCAAATCACTTTCAAGTTAGGACAATCGTGGGACATAATCCCCCAGTCCTAAGTCCAAATCAAGGGATAGAACTACCTTTTGGTCCCTCTACTTCAAACCAGGGGGATGGTGTAAGGCCACATCAGAATAGTGGTAATGGTACATCTAACTTGGGGGATAACCTAACTATAAGAGACAATGTCCTAAATAATGGACAGAATACCCCACGTGTCAATGATAGAATAAATATTCAGGCTAATGGCAACAATGACCCAAATCATGGCAACTTTGTTGTCAATCAAGGACCAAATATCAGGCCTCAGGCAAATCAACCGGCCAACCAACGTGTAGGAATTCCATATGACCTCAACGTCATGTTGAAAAACCAAATTATGGAAATAGTACAGGATCAAATGGCCTTTGGGGTACGTCCTGTCATTAGGCCGACTTACACAAAGTCATACCCTAATTGGGTAGACCAACATATCCATGGGCTAGAGGGTATAAAGTGCCAGACTTCTCATTATTTACCGGTTTAGGAGAGGTGTCTACTATAAAACACATAGGGCGATTCACACTGCAAAGTGGTGAAGTAATGGACTACCATAAAATGAGGTTGTTCCCTACTTCATTAATGGGAGTAGCTTGCTCCTGGTTCATCAATTTGCCAGTGAACTCTGTTCAAACATGGCAACAATTGGAGCAATTGTTCCATACTCAGTTTTATAAGACTGAGTCTGAAGTTATTTTGGCCGATTTGGCGAGTCTGCGTCAAATGCCAAACGAATGGACAAAAGGTTTCCTTCAAAAATTCAAGACAGCAAGAAGTAAATGTTTTGTACCTTTGCTCGAAAAAGAGTTTGTCAAAATCGCTCAAAATTGTCTAAACTTTGATTTGAAAAAGAAATTCCAAGACAAGGAATTTCCTGATGTTTTTCAATTGAGCGCAAACGTGATTAGGTATGAACGATTAATAAGAGAAGAAGAGCAAATGAAAAACTCTAGCAAGAGGACTTATTATAGAGACCCAAACTTTGATGTTCATACCATTAATGACGAATATTACGATCAAGCCGAAATGTGTTTGACCGAATTAATTAAAGGAGATACGTATACTTGTCCTATAATGACTAAGCCTAGATCGTCGGACAAGGATGAGCCTATAAAAGATGAAAACAAAAAGGTTAGAACGTTCTCGTTCGATGTAACCAAAACTGACCTTATATTTGATAAACTATATAAGGATAAACAGATAAAACTGAGCAATAAACGTAAATTGCCAAGCCCTGAACAAGTTAAGGGTAAAAAATATTGTAAGTGACATAATGCATGGTCACATTTGACTAACAACTGTTTGGTTTTTCGCCATGTGTTACAGGACGCCATTGAATCAAGATGAATTACGTTCGAAGATAAGAAGAAGATGGCAGTGGATGAAAATCCTTTTTCATAGCCACTTGGGGTGAACATGGTGACGACTGGTTTCAAAAACAAGTTGCCAAAATTCAAGCTGGTTATAGATGACAGGGAAGAGGACCCTAGGCCATATCCCAGTGTCTTTGAACGTATCAAAAAGAAGGAGCCCAAAAAGGATGAAGACGTCCTATGTGCAAGATGCAAAAGAGAAGTGAGTGCAAATAAGAAAAATCAGGGATATGACAGCATCACCATCGCCCTAGTTTTTTCCCAAACTCTCAGCCTGGTAGAGGGCGATGTACATCATTCTATAGGAGACCGCCTTTTGAGAGGCAGCTCAGACCAGTAAATAATGGGAGAACATTCAGGCGACAATCTCGCCAACCAAATGTATGACATTCGTTCCAGTATATCCAGGAAGGGTGATACCCTTCAACAAGATGACTAGAACCCAACAAAGGTGTTTTCGACGAAACTATGGACGAATGATGAGGCAACAACA